ATAGAGAACTAGAATAAAAGCGGAACAACCGCTGGGTACGAAAGAATAGTAAGATCTTCCACAGGAAAGAGAGAAGCTGCACAATCAATTGACGACAGGGCGGTCTTTCTGGACGTATGTTCAGGAACATTTTCAGCGCTGCGCAGGAAAGAAAAGGGACTGTTCGGAGTATTTCAATGTGACAAGATATTTAACGTGTTCTGGAAGTGAAGAGAAAACTTTTCGTTCTATTGATTACCTATAGACTGCTCGAAATAGTTACAAAATTCATTCGAACGAATAACTTTATCGTACGGTACGCTACGTAATATTTTAAAAAGATTAATATATTTAGGAATAGTATACATACAATTGCTTTTACTTTTAAACGTAATCTTGTAACTATTTCGAGCTGTATAACATTTTTAAAAAATAGCTAAAAACTGTGCGCTCATTGTTATGCTGCAAACAATTATTCAAGTTTATAATATACCTTCCACGACACCCTTGGCATCGAGTGTTTTCCCGTAATGTTTGCCAAACTTTTTTAATTGTCCGGAAGACAAACAATAGACGTGAAAGCCAGTTATGCAAAATCCATAAGTGCGTTTCGATTCGGCATACTTCAATTCTTCCGTTGCTCTTTTTTGAGGCGTGGCCAAGGGATCCCACGTTCGTCTACCTATTTTTATGTCCATCACGCACGGTTCCGCCATACCATGGATAATATCTTTCAACGTGAGGAACGTTACTCCTAATATTTCATGCAAACGATTAAACGATTATAGTTAATATCATAGTTAATAATCAATTAAAAACCGAGCAACAACAAAAACTGATATTTTCGATATCTTACGTTTGCCGAATATTTGCAATTCTGTCGTGCCGTAATATTTTGGAACATAATTCTTCAATTGTAACATGACGGGGTCTTGGGATGCTTGTAAACTTTCGTAAAATGCGATTTCCCTTTTGCCAAGTAATGGTTTAACGACAGGTTTCAGCACCCGACCGTCCGGTCTACGTAACATGCCTACAACAATTCAAGTAATCAACTTTTTAATAAGATGTTTCATTTTATAAGAAAAATCTGATTTAAGCTGATTACTTGATAACAATAACAAGTTTTTCGAGATAGCGAGAGCTTACAAAAACATAAATATCTTCCATTGGTTTCAGACTTTCGACGTTTCGACGTTTCGACGTTTAACCGTTACCTCGGGTCACAGGATATAATGAAAAAGAGGATTAATGATTTCACAATAGAAAATTGAGCAAACGCGAGATTGAATAATATTTCAAGTGCACTGTAATGTCGTAACACTCGGTATTTCGATATTGCTCAGAGTATAATCGATTTGTTTGCAACACAAAGCTACGCTCTCTGGAGCGTAGAGTAAACGTTCATGTGTCCAATTGGAAATTTACCTCGGCACGCAGAGTCGTAAAAAGTCCTTGGGTGCAAGGACAAACCTCTATCTGGATATTGTTCTCCGTATATGTATAAACTCACTGCTTTGCGTGCATTTCTTCGGTATTCGTTAACCGCTAATAACACGTCTACCTTTGCCATATTAGAAAACCTATTTATCGTGCAACGATGTCTGTAAGTTAATGTTTAAATTAAACATTCTACTAAACCGGTGGTCCTCGTGTATTTCTCTTTTCTTTTTTTTTCCACTCTTTGCAACCGCTTTAATATGTAGAAACGAGAAAATATTTATGTTTATTGTAATTCATTCGCACTTAACACTCCAATTTAATTTCTCCAAATTCAAGTTGAGTATCTATTCAAGTTTATAAAAACAACTCGATTGAATGTTTTGTGTAAATCACCCTTCGTACCGATGAATGAAAACAAGTATGTAATCCTGACAACATGTACGCTCGATCGAACAATTATCTAGGGATCGAGGAAATGATGGATCTACACAAAAGATAATAACGAAACCGACATTATGAAACCGTTGAAATGTTGTTATCGTCGAACGGAAAAGAGACACGATCGGCTCAAGTTGCGTTACTCGTTCTATACATATATATATATCGTAGCTCGGATTAAACTTAATAAGAATTATATTATCTGTCCGGTACAATAAAAATAATTTGCAGCTGGTGTTGAAAGCTGGTGCGTAGAGTTAAAAAATTACTTAAATTAATACTATCTCGACTAACGTGTAATTTTCTTTGCCAAATTGTTAAAAATAAACGATTGAATTTCAGTTATTTCAAATAGTTGTTTCGATAGTTTGTCCAAGTTTTCTAGTAGTTGTTAAATTTCGTATTATTAGCAATTTTCCAATGAAATGATGAAATGATGAAATGTAGATATAGAGTAAATTGATTTTTCGATATGTCTAGTTTCGAAGTGGCATTTAAATCGGTCGAGTGCTTACCGATGGTGCGTCGTTTGTCGTCAAACATGTGTCCAGCTACCTGATTTTCCAATGGACTTAATCCGTCATGGATTCCACACTCGAACGAAATTTCCGCCAACTCCGTGCTCGAAACCTTATCGAGATGGCATAAAGTTTTATCGGCCTGCGAGTCTAAAGTCGTCATCGTTATTGCACTGAGTGGTGCGCAGTAATTAACTTGTGCAATTAAAGAGTTGCACGGTTCGCAAAGATCTTATCTTCGCTGTGAATTCCACCTCTGCCACCGACGGTTACACATGGAAGCTTATTCTAATTATCTTCGGTTGTTTCATTTCCGTCTATAAATACAAATGTCAGTTGATGAAGAACTCTAAAGAAATGACAGTTATTGCGCATGTATTGTACAATATTATACACGAGTTACAACGATTTTACATTATTCTAATAAATGAATAATAATGGGATAAGGGTTACGGTAGGCCGAAGGCCGCGGACGGTTTGTCCAGGCTCCAAAAAACGTGTCATTATTAATGCATGTGATGTTTTCTGATACATTAGGGGTGAAACAGAATTGGTAATTTAGTCGTCGTCTGTTTTTTACATACATTTTTTCAATAAATTTTCAACGACTCCAATATCTCGATAGAAGAAATTCTTTGAGATTCATTCATTTTTACATTCGAATGTTAACATCCGTAAAAAAAAAAACATGTTACCTTCGATTATTCCTTTCCGCTCGTGCATCCGCATTGTTTAACTTTGCATTAATCGTATCACAGGTAAATAATTCACATCATACCGATTAATATATTGATGATGATATTTCAGTCGTTCTCAATGTTCTTTCGGATAAACGAAAAGCATACAAAATTAGAGCGAACATTTCCCGCGGATATTTTGAAACGTTAAAATACTCCTCTATCCCGGTAGAGGACAGAACGTGTTTGTGGAAATTGAATGTTCTGAATTCGCGCTTTTACCAACAAATCGTGTTATTCTTTGCTGCTCACTTGAAAATCCAATATTAGCAAGGACAGTACTTGAAAAGTTGGATTAAACTCAAGTAATTCTCTATCTGATTAGGTATGTAACTACGAGGTATACTAATATTCACGTTCATTAGTTGGTACGAGGAAACTCGTAACGCTTTAGGAATCGACTTTTTCAACAATCGAAAGAATCATAATATCCAACTCATACGAGCCATACGTACATTTATTGGAAATAACAGTAGAATCATTTATTAGCCACTCTTCTTTTACAAATGTTACATCTATGACATTTTACATGCCTATCTATTATTATAACCTATACGATAACCAGTCCCTTCACAACAACACGATATAATGTGTTCGAATACGTAACACTTTCACGTAGATCAATTTCGTTTGAAACCGTCTGTACATAAGGGCGGAACAACGATTACGTTCGCGACTTTTCAAACTTCACATCATTTTTCGGACGATAACACGTCCTCACACGTCCTTCCACTCACTAGACGTCTTCCTACTTTTCTATTGCTATCTCTTTCGTCACACTACAAAGTTTCATTTAGATTCCACCAGAGGGCCAATTTTGTTTTTATCAAATGAATACCGTCTCCGGCTCGTTTTCAGGCGGCATTCAGATTTCAGGCTCCATCAGGCTCCAAAGGACTCGAGAACCGATATGCAAATACGATACAGTCTCGTTCCCGGAATTTTTTCATTTTTCCTTTTTCTTTTTTTTTTTTATTCGTTCACTAGACCACATCATACATCATACATCATCTATGTTTTTTTATGATTTCAGAGTGCTGTATCCAGTATACATACGAAACTCATCGTATCGTGTATACGACAATAAAAAGTCTACGTTGTAATAGGTACGCGGATTAAGAAAGATTACAAATTATTCATACAAAAATAATCAAATTTATTTGTTATAAATACTCGTTTGATCTTAATTTTATTAATAGTCTTACAAAATTAAGCTGTCCATTTTAAACACCTTGTGTCAAGATGAGTACCTAAGCATTTCATGCTACAATATCTTGCACCGCAAGGAATACATGTATAATTACTAGGAAAACCGCAAACTGCGCAAAACTGTCTTTCAGGAAAGCGCGACGGAGGTGCTTGAGCGGAAACGTAGTTAGGGCAATTCGAGTTAACGTTCAGATCCTCTTCGACTAATTGGGCAAAACTTTTACGAAAACGTTGCTTGTAATATTCTGCCGATCTAGTTTTCTTCTTTCTACCACCTCTGTTATCTAGAGTCTCTTGAAACTTTGGAACTTTCTTGCTCATTACTGAAATATTCACGATATGCGTGTCTTTGTATAATCGAAACAAGAAAACATTTGTTGCGATAAATATTTATAAAACAGTGATTTACTAATTACCAATGAAATAAATTTTTGTAAAGTGTTTATATTAGAAACATACCTAGATCCGCGTGCGGGTCATCGTGAAAATTATCTTGTTCCAAAGCTTCCAATGCTTTCTTCTGCCTACGTTTACGAGCAGCATCGTCGAGCACTCTCTTTTGATATGCATCTTTTATTCTACCAGATTCTCGTGCAGCCATATTTTATTATTTTACACTAAATTATATAGTTTCTTAATTGATTTTTATCAGCTTAACGTATCTTTTCTCAATTATTTATATTCCTTTCTCTGCTATTGGAAACGATATTTGATCCATAAGATCGTCTACTTTTGCTTGCAAAGTATCTAAGATGTCAACAGAAATAAACAAATGTCTTTCATCCAGATCTTGAATTATAAATTTTCGTCCTAAGGCTAAAGTCTCGTCCAGATGTAAAAGAAATTCCTTCATAGCTGCATCGCTGTAAATATCCCCATAAATATACATTTTCTATTTCTATGTAATCGTTTAGGTAAAATGTCAAAGCGAAAAGGAGTGTCACTCGACGAAAAACGTATGAGAATGCTACAAATATTTTATGAAAAAAGAGAATTTTTTACTTTAAAAGAGTTGGAAAAAGTTGCACCAAAAGAAAAAGGCATTGTAGTACAATCTGTAAAAGATGTCCTTCAGGCACTAGTTGACGATGGATTAGTGAGGTCAGAGAAAATTGGTACTTCTGTATATTTTTGGACTTTTCCAGGGTAAGAATATAATGCACAAGTAACACGCTAAAATATAACAAGCATTATTTTACCCAATAAATAAATAATTAATAAATAAATGTTATAGAGAAAATATTACTGCGATAGAACACAGAATATCGGAAGCTTCTAAAAAGATAGTGGAGGCAGAATTTAAGCTTCAAAAATTAAAAGAAGCTTGCGAGAAAGAGAAGGTAACTAAAGAAAGTATTAAAGGTTATAATAGAAACTATTTAATCTAAAGATTCTATATTGATGTTGAAATGAAATGCATAGATAGGAAAGGAAGATACACAGGAAAGACAACTTTTGTTACAAGAATTAGAAGAATTGAAGGCAAAAAAGGAACAGTTAAAAGAACAAATTGCTAAATTTAGTGATGCAGATCCCGAAGCTATAGCTGAACTTGAAAAAAAAGCACAGGTACCAGATTGTTAAAAGACAAATTTGTAACAAACATGTTTATAGATATTTTGTTTTTGTTTTTTTTTTTCAGGAATATAAGGATGCTACCAATGCGTGGACAGACAATATTTTTGCTATTCAAAGTTGGTGCAAAAATAAATTTGACATCTCGGAGCAGAGTTTGAATAAACAATTTAATATTCCTAACGATTTGGATTATAAAGAATAAAAGTGTAACATGATTCATACTTAATATACGTACCATTCAACCAAAATTCCTTTTGTGACATTTACCATGACTTTTCCCCTTTTACATTCAGTGAAATGAAAGAAACGAAAATTTTGTTGTACATTCGTTGCTATTTTAATACGTGCATTGCATCGCAATATCAAAAACTATAATAATCTACATGTAATCTGTATATATATCCAGGCGGATGGGTGCGGGCCGGTGCGGGGGTGATGCAGTGAAAATCTGACAAACAGCACTATAGCCATCTAGCGGATAGATTAAAAGCTCAAATGGAGGTAGCTTGGCATTATGCGAGAAAGAGAGGGGTAACGTGTGCGATAAGGACAGAGCTACAGTGGCTGTGCGAGAGAGAGACAGAGAGGGGGGTAGCATATGCGACAAGGACAGAGCTAAAGCGTGCTACGGTGGCGCCATCTCTTCGTAAACCGCCCAAGTTTGTCGAGAAATAGTTCTAAATTTCCACCGCTAGATAGCGCCACTAAGAAGTTCACGTCTGTATTCACCTAAACTGTTTTATTACGTTAAATAATAAATTTATAACTATAAAAAAAGCATAATATGATCTTAACACATATTAGAATTGAGTTGAAATGAAGTTTTACTACTTTTAATTCTTTGACAGTAACTTTAAACTTTTGCGCCATCTAGCAGTTGAAATTTGAAACTATTTCTCGAAAAATTTGGACAGTTTTCAAAGAGATGGCGCTACAGCTATATAGATATTTTAATAATATTTAATTTTTATGAAAATTGCTTTAATACATCAAATAATGGTAGCTTAACTGTACTACAAACATCGTAGAATTTCAAGTCGTAATTAAATTTAGTTTAGTTAAGGTTTTTTTGAGTTAAACCTATTTACGCCATCTAGCGGTGGAAATTTAGAACTATTTCTCGACAAACTTGGGCGGTTTGCGAAGAGATGGCGCCACCGTAGCACGCTTTAGCTCTGTCCTTGTCGCATATGCTACCCCCCTCTCTGTCTCTCTCTCGCACAGCCACTGTAGCTCTGTCCTTATCGCACACGTTACCCCTCTCTTTCTCGCATAATGCCAAGCTACCTCCATTTGAGCTTTTAATCTATCCGCTAGATGGCTATAGTGCTGTTTGTCAGATTTTCACTGCATCACCCCCGCACCGGCCCGCACCCATCCGCCTGAATATACATGGAATGCACATGGAGTGTATGTACAATTGTACACATGCAACGTTAGAAGACATCAAGAGTTGTTAGCAAATGTTAGGATGTATTGGGAGGTGTTTGGAGATATTAGGATGCATTTGGAGCAACACTAGCATTTTTGTTATTTTCTTGACTACTATGTTAGATACAATTATACTTGAAAAACTAACTGCAACTGTAATTGTCTTAATTATTATTTTTTTTTTGTTTTTAGTAAAAATCAAATCAAATAATAGTTTATGAATTTTATTATAGAAAAGAAAAAGTTATAAATGGGTGTATACTAAATATTTTGATATTATGTGTTCTTTCTAAACAATCATTTTGTTAATAAAATTATTCCAACAGCGATATGATACATATCTATTCGTATGTAAAGCTATACATCTATTCTATATATGTAAAAGCGGTATGGTAATAAACGTAAACAATTGATTTAAATCATTTTATTTATTGACGAACATCGTTACCACTGATTTTCATGTTGACAGTCGTGCATAGAAAAGAAAAAAATAGAATGCGAATACTTACACCAGTCATAAGAAATATATACTTTCGTGTCATAGTGTCAGAGAGTAATTGTATTCGCAGTTCTGTTAGATAGATTTGGGCGATTAATATTAAATACAAAATATATATATGTATATATATATATAGATATATATATTTATAGCAGTAATATTTTCTCTCTCTCTCTCTCTCTCTCTCTCTCTCTCTCTCATAATATAATAACACATATCTCTTTGTAATATAGATAATCTTTCTTTGATTTTGCAAGGCCAGCATAGAAATCACACTAGAGAATGGTAAACTTAGTTTTTGTCTCCTAAAATTTAGACAAAGAGATGCTCTTATCAAATGAGCCATTAATTTAAACACAATTCGTGATATATACATTTATAAAATTAACCTCGGTTAATTACGAATTTCTCATAAATATTAAATTTAATTCTAAATAATGGAAGTTGCTTTTAAATGCCTGTATCTAAATGTTATCAAATGTTCTGCGGTATCGATTTTTTTTATATAATACGCGTGTGCGTGTTTTTTGTCAAATTATTGTTTTCGCATTTTATACTAAATATACTAAAATGGTACAATTTAAAATAATTATGATATACATTTTTCAGCATCTGTGATGTTCCAGTTTATCAATTTATAAACACTACGCATTAGAGTCTACAGTGATTGGATTTTCCGATTCTGATCTTTGATTACGGCTGATAAATTTGTAAATGTCTGTGTAATATTTTTAAAAACAATTTCCAGTTGTTACATATTTATCTCTAGATACCTATAACATATTTCTTTCACCTTTATCTTTTAGATTCACCGTTTCACAAAATTTATGTCGTTTTTGCATAAAAGGGTTTCATTTCGGCGAATTTTAGCTATTTTTGCACCTCTATCAGTGCCGTAACCTTCGGTTTTTGTAACGTAAAAAAAGACATTGACGGTAATTTTGATTGATAAATTCCATGAAATCGAGCAGTCAATATACAATCTAAAAGAACGTCGTGAAAATACATCGATCGTAAACCGTATAAAATATACTGTGTGCTTGTTGTCTTTAAAACAATTAGAAATAGCATTGCTGGAAAATGTTTACAACAGTTGCTGATTTCTGCATTTTTCTTGTATATTTGCAGAAGCATTATTTATCCAGAGATGTTTGCCGGTATTACAAACATCACTGTTTGAAATAACTTTAATGTAATTGTAAAGATACATCGTTGCTAAATATTCATTTCGAAATATCATTTTTTCTCGTAGTTTCGAAAATTTGATGTGAAATTTGATAAAACACAACTCTCCCGCAGTTAACATTCAGAAATAACAGTTTTTCAATATCAAAGCAATGTAAAGAATGTAAAAGGTTATGTCATATCGAGAAACCAGATGTTTCGTGTAAAATGGGAAGAATGCGATACACTCGAAAACGACATCGTATAGGCAGTGATAATTGTGATATATCTGCAAAGTATTTGTAAAGTTATACAAAGTTTCATTGAAATACAGAAGAAAAATTGTACTTGTAGAAAAAATCGTCAATCGAGAAAAAGTATATGTATGTATGTATACTATCTTATACGCGCTTCAGAGGCAAATATTGTATGAAAAGGAATGTAGAAAAACTAAGAGACGTAGATTTTACTAAGATAAACTTTGGTATTATATATGAGTGAACTTTCGTGTCCCTCTGTTCTTTCTTTTCTTTAACACTTTCGATCTTTCCGTGTAGGAAGATAGCCGATTATTTACAAAAAAAATGATATAAAGTACAACGTGATTACTACTACTACTAATAATAATAATAATAATAATAATGATAATGATAATAATAAATCGTCTACTAATACCGTCAGTGAAAAATAATGAAAATAAAGTGCGTAACTAAGCAAACAAAGCACGCTCAGTTTACGTTGCGTATTAGTGAACAATAAACGATAATACGTGTTCTATTCGTACGCTAACGACACATCGGTACGGTGTGTGTGTGTGTGTGTGTGTGTGTGTGTGTGCGCGCGCGCGCGCGCGCGCGCGCGCGCTTGCGTGTGTGTCTTAAACAATTTGGTGCAGCTAAATCATCGTAATCGTTAAAATGGCTAGAAAAACTAATCTTACGCTAAATTGGCTAACGATATCGGAAGATTAATCAACGAAAGCATTCGTACTTTCTACAATTGTTTCGGTCTAATACAAGAGAAAAAAAAAACTAGTAATGGTTTCGGTAAATTTACCGTGATAAATACTGTTTCTAACAATACACATTCTTGTTTCAACATGAGACGTGAGAAATATATCGATAAAATACATATTTCTATAGTCCATAAGCGCATCGATACTTAAATCAGTCGCTTTATACTGTTTTATGGGACAACGCGCTAGTTACCCCGTTTAGAAACAACACGAGGACTACATAGTACATGTATGTATGTGCGTAATACATACATACCTGTATATGTACGCCCTCAATTTATGAACATTTAATTATTACAGATAAAATGTATTATATTATTTAATTTGTGTGTTTACACTTAGTTTCGGAAACACTTAGTCTAAAGGCCATTTTACGTTTTATTCTAAAATTTCTAATATTATAATGACAAGATGCGCCTACGTCTTTAATGTTTCCATCTCTATTCAAGTTTGCGTGTGTTTGTGTGATCATTTATTTGTAATTATATTGACTATTAGAGGTTAACTTATACCTATTAATAAATTAATAGATAAATAATATGGTTAAAAGTCAAACAAGTATTATACCACAAGTAACAATTAGCTACGCTGCAAATATCTGAAATGACGCGTCGCTATAATTATATGTATATCGCAGACTCATTTTGTTTTCTAAATCTCGTTTTCACTTCTAAGCCCGTCACGTTTAATATACAGCGTTTGTACCAATTTCTACCTAAGAAAGTTTAATATAGTTCAAGTAAAAACGTAAAGCATCTCGATTGCAAGTTTCAAACTCTCTGCAATGAATTTTCGGAAGGTTTCCCTCGAAAGAAACGGTTCCGAAAAAGTAACGGTATTCTCGTAAAGAGTTGTCAACTATTACGCCCAACTAATTATTCAAGTCTAATTGTCGTAATGGGAAACGTTACTCACCGATGCAGGTGTATTAAACGTGTCTCGAGGAGAGTTTTAAACGGTAGATGTTTGTTGATTGTTGTTATCCAATGGAATACTCGTTGAACATTCTTTCAACATTGCTCGCAATCGAAGAATTTCCTTTGAAGCGGCTGCAAGGTCGGATTGCAATTGTAGCTCCTTCTCTCGTAGACGTTTTATATCACGTTGGCAAGTCTGTAAAAAAGTGAAATTACTGCGTCAAGTATACGGGATATTTGAATATATAAAGATCGAACGAATCAATAAATGAATAATAATTCCAATTTAAAATTGAAAAAGGTACTTGGTACATACCACATTCTGCCTCAGTAGATCTAACTTGTCGCATTTAAGCCTTGTAACTTCCATCTTGAGGTTTTCGTTTTCTAAAACGCCATCCTTGGTGGCGCACCTTGCCGTGTCGTGAGTTTCCGCAGAACTCATCGATTCGAGGCCTGTGTCGCTGTCAGGATAGACGGCCTGGTCGAGCTCAAGTTCGCTATTCAACGAACTGTCGTCACTTTCCGAAATAATACGCTGCGTAGTCTCCGTCTTCTCCGATCTTTCTTGTTTCCTCAAGTTTTCGTGAGTCAGCCTTTGGACGGAAGGTGCGGAAGTTTTGTCCATAACGGTTGTATCGTTGCTGGTACAAACCGACGCGGTGGATTCTCTACGATCGACCTCGTCTTGCTGTAGGGTGGCTAAACTGCTATCCTGATTGTCCGTGTTGGACAAACTACTGTCCTGGCTCCCTAAACTAGGGCTCCCGTGTTCCGAATCTCTTCGAAGGGTCAGATCAGGGGAGCCTAAAGGACTCGACGGTTCTATCGAACGTTTCCCGCTAATCTTAGTAGTCGATTGTCGATTGCTCGGTGGACTAGGCTCCGATTGACCCTTTTTCGATAACTGCTGAGGTACGCTCTCTGTAGACGCGTTTCTGACCCGCGAAATCAGTGCCTTCCGAACGGTATCGATGAATCTAGACCCGCTTCCTCCGCTACCAGATCCCGATGCGTCGCTCGCCGTCGGACTTACCGGGCAATTTCCACCAAATCCTAAACCGGCACCACCCAAACCGATAGCTCCGCCAAGAAATTCCGCGGTTTTTCCTTGCAAGTCTTCCGTCAACGACTCCAACAGTGCCGATCTCGTTCTTAGCTATTCATTTGAAATTGATCTCGTTAGTATCGAGAATCGATGTAGAGGATCGTGTCTTGTTGTCTTATCATTTCTATATAGAGTATTCTCGAGAAATTTCAGTTGGAAATAAAGAAACGATGCTTAATAGTTGTATAGTTACCTCGAGTTTCGAGAACTTGTCAGCTTTGTACGCTGCGTTTTCAGCATTCACTAATTTCGTCAGAAGGAATTCCTTGAATTCGACTCCTCGCATAAATACAGCTGGTGCTGGCAATGCTGGACCAAACCAAGGAACATCGTTTCGAGCCGTGATGCTTACTTTGTACCTGTATTTAGAATACGAATGTATAAATGCCTAGAAATACTGTGCCGCGATCGGTAACATCGGTAATATCATTCTATATCTACGACCGTACAATTGAGCTCATTGTCAGTTTCGATAATTAACAGTACATTAGAGAACCGATATATCCGAATTTCACGGCATCTTAACGCGTCAAGAACACGGTACACAAGTACGTACGTACGTACGTACGTACACGAATCTAAAAATATATACCTGGTATTAGAAGTGCAGGGGTCAACGACCTGCACCACGATGAATGCATGTAAGAAGTGGCTGGCGATCATATCTGGGCTGAAAGGAGTTGGCTCCTCTTGGAATATTATCGCGACGATGTCATTGCCGATGTGTCTTTTACGCTGCAATTGCTGAGAGTCCCCTGAACTGTATGGAAGAAGGGAGGCGACATGGAAGAGCACTTCTCGCCCTCGAAATACCTCGTATACCGCAGAATCTCCGGTCTGGCCGTGTCGAGTATCCAAACCTCCGCGATATCTGCGAAAATCAACATTCGAGCCTTAACGTCGCGTCGTACAAGTCCGTTTACATACATTACATACATATTACACATTAAACAACCTAAACTCTCGGTGGACCCTCGCAGTGAAATTCTCGGATCAAAACTATCCGAGTCGGCATCAAATTATCAAAGTCTAATATTTTAAATATCGTACCAATAACAACTATAATATTCGTTTAAAAAACTCATATATATATATATACTCGTATTTCGCGGAGATACTTTGCGCTATTCTATTTTAAGCGATACAGTATTTTAAGCGACACAGCGATAGACTACAAACGAAATGTTATATACCCTTTGTGATCCTTCAAATCGATCCTTTGGCCTAGCAAGTCGAGAAATTCTTGGAAAGCTGGCGTAATTTGCCTGTTTCCAAAAAGTTGCTCCTCGGTGATTTGCCCGGCACGTTGATGAAGAACGCCGAATTTAAACCTCGACACCAACGCGTGTTCGTCGTACCGTGCTATCAGTGTACCAGCACCAGAACAGACCACGGGCATCAGCGTGCTCACGTTCAACGTCTCGTTGATTGCCTGTACAAAGAATCCACGTTAAACAGACATTAACCTTCATTCAAGTAAATATTTCATTTTCATTTTGACCCTAGACAAAATATATGAAACGAATTAAAAGTTTCCCACTCTTTATCTAGCGTATACACATAATACATTACACACCGTGTATCGGTTAGATATACTAATAGAGTTGAAATCAGAAAAAATGCTACATGCGGAATTCTTTCTGAAATATAGACGACTATGACACTGTATGCGATTAAAGTCGACATCTGTTTCTCTTTAACAAACAATTTCACGTGGTATTTTTCCGCGCAATCGTCAACGGTATTAAGCTTCTACAATTATTTCGACAATTCTTTTCGTCAACTTGACTCTTCAAGAAATATTTATCGTATGTTTTCGAAATCTGGGAGAGGGGCTGCTCGAGATTAGAGATTTTTACATAATCGATACCTTATCTCGTTCCGTCAATTATACGTGGTATATATTTTCTAATTGTAATCATTCTTTCTTAACATCGCAAACAAATATACATAGAGCTGAATAAACTCTTATTTACAGTATTATGTATTGTAATTACTTTGAATGTACGTACGACTGATATCGTTCGAATGTGTACATTGCAACGTTACACTGTTGGAAGCACCGTTAACCTCCGAGGAGGTAATTGGGCACGGTGAAAGCGTTAAACAAAAGAATACTCGAACGTATTCCGTAAAGCCGTAAAGGGCGTAAAGCGTAAAAGAAACAAGGGAAACTTCACCTTGACCATTTTCGCCGGCGACGGATTCGGACCGAGGTTCGTGGCTGGTACCAATTCGTGGGTCGAGCCAGCTCGCAATCGCAACAAGACTCTCCAGTGCTCCTGTCCAGCGACTGTCTCGGCCTTCACCGAGACGAGGACCGGCCCGTTCTCTCCGTCCCTTCCCACCAGGTTCACGTGCTCCTGCAAAACGAAAAGGAAAAGCCATTTGTCAACGGTGCCACTACGACCCCGACAACTTCCAAGTCCTCGCAACAACGAACAACAATCAACCCAACTATCGGCTGACTTTGACGTTGTTGGTGCGTACCGAGAGCATGGAAATTGTGACATAACGCGACGCGACGCCGACGCCCAGCTCGCGACACTTACACTCGCTGGATTCTCCTATTCAAATCATTTTCTCTTCCGTATCAATTTTCTGACTTTCAACCAAATCAACTAACAATCGCTTCAAACTAAACCTATATACTACATACAATTCTATTTTTAACATTAAGACTGCAACTGTGCATTATGCAGATCACGTAGAAAGATAAGTAGTATGGTTATTAAACGCACCAAGTGATACAGTGCACCATGTGTTTTACGTTACGTTACGTTACGTTACATTACACGGTATGCGTTACGGCATAACACGCCGAGGTGTGTCATTATCGTAGACGTGCTAGAGCAACGCGTTACATTTAATTATATTACACCACACGGCCAGTCTATTTAAGCTAACATGTCACTCTACCTGTAACATCATGGAATTTCATATGAAACAAGTTCGTTATAATTATTACGGATGTTATGATATACTATCATATAATATACACGTTACGTTATTCTAATTATTTTTAAGTAACAAATTCATTCAAATTATTACTTTTTTCGACAACTTTTATAACCGACATCTGCGATGCCATAACAACGCAATTTCGAACTATACGCTAATTGCAGATAACGCATAGCGACAGGTGTGCTTTGAAAAAAAGGACGACAGGTGGACGAACAGTTACGAAGGGATGGAAAAGAGAAATGTCCATGCTTTGAATTTCTTGTAAAGTATATACGGTAAAAGCGGAACAAGAGTAGACACGAAATACCAATTACCATGATGCACCGTTTCGTACACTAATTACAGGAGAAGACTAATCTAGCTATTCTCGTTATAGAGCTTCATCTTTCACAGCTCGGATGCGACTCGACTCGAGTTGACGTAATTTACGCGTTACCTTTAATCAGAAAATAGCAAATCGAATGATTTTGCGAAAGAGTATATTTGTACCCGTGGAATTTGATAAAATTATTAATTAGCACAACTGCGAATAAAGACGCGATAAATTCGCGATGACTTCTCCACGACTGTTTCAACAAGTTTAAAACAGAATCTGACCGAGCCCGATCCAAACTTATTATCTATGTATATGTACAATGCATAAATAATGCAGGTAAAGAAGGGTCTGACGAGGAACCAAGGAAGAGGGCAAGCGGAAGAAAAGCGGAGGCATCTTAAAAGCGTCTAAGAATGAAAATCAGGGATGTCGAAGAGGAGAAGGGAGTCAAGGAGAGAAGAGGAGAGAGAGTTTCTTCTTATTGGTATATACAATATAGGCATCGGTGTAGACTATGAGAACGTTCCCACTCCCACGCCCGAAGTGCTCTTTTCCTTTTCCTGCGCCCCTTTACCCCTCCTTTCCTATCCGCCTCGACTCATCATCCTTTTCTATCTACGCTCGTGATTCTACGCGTGTATGCGCGCTTACCGCCTGCGAACCGTAACAATAGGCTGATCGTAAAGTAGGAATCGTCAAGAAATCGGAAATGGCCGGAATGTCCGTGTGTGGTTGGTTAGTATTTTATGAACGATATACAATATAATAAAACAATTAATGTATAATTTACATACCCTGCCAACGAAGAATCGCCTGTAACATTTGGCGGTGTCGTCTTGGTCTATTCTGGGTTGCCAGGCAGGCTGTGCCGGAAGTAACGCCCTACCAGTCGAGTCCAGGGGATGCCGATGATCGGTACCATCGATCCAATATCCAGGTGGTATCACCACCAAAGGTGGCTGAGATCCGGAAGTGGCTTGCTGAAGCGCAGCCTCCATAAGAGCCCTGCCAACCGGTGCATCTCCGACCGGCGACGGAGAAGGCGAGGGTGTGTGATTATTCTGATTACCAGGACTCGAGGCTGCCCTGTCCTCCCTCGGGGTCTGTAATCGCGACGATATCAGGCTAGTTTGCTACGTGCTTTGGATCTCTATTCAACGCTATCCAACGTTTCAAACTTTTCAACATTTTCCGAACTTATCTATACATATAGTACGTACATATACGTATTCAAGGTGCACGATATTCGTAACGTGTTATCGCACGTAGTTAGCTATGCGACAGACAACTGGTAGAAATATCGATAGTTTGCTTATCGACCAACACGTTCAAGTATGATTGTCGAATTGTTTAACTCAACCAGCTACTATTTGCGTAACTATAGTTTGCCTATGTATACTCTACTATGTATATCAAATATTCCTTTCTCCTAAGAATTATATTATTATTTAGATCTAAGATAAATATTTCTACTCGACAGCTAAAGAATATACAAAGTGGAACATATTGATCAGGCAATATGGAATACGGAATATGGAATATGGAATATGGAATGGAGCACGAACAACGGAAAGTGCATGGAACGCACACGATCCTGCAGGTAACATGTGCTGCCAAAATATCACTGGTTGGACGTTATCACGTGTCACGTGGAATATCGATTATCGAAGACCATACCTCCGTTAAGATATGCCTTCGTTAATCGTCTCTCATCGTGCGATTATTCTTGAAAAATTAACTCGGTAGTATTCGGTAGGTATACTTCGGTCGATATTATCTTTTATTTCAGATCGCATGCAGTTACTTGGTATACTCGTACTTATGCTTACCGCGTACATATATTTTTAAACGTGTTATACAACCCGAGCTAAAATAATAAAACCAAATTTCATCGCGGTTATAGTTGCTTTGTAATGTTTGCTTTAAACGTTAAACGAATTTTCGTTGTATCTGGTGGTAATATCTTTTCGATACTTTTGTCTACCTGGACCCTTCGAATTAACCGCTATGCAATGGAAATGACGCACGCTGCTGCACATTGACCATTAAAAGGGCGGCGACCGCTGATAATAATAGGAACATGTGGTGTTACGGCAGGTGGTAGGTCTGTACATGTACAGTAATACTTACGAGCATAACGCAAACGGCTGCTCGTGTATATCGTTGCTTCTGTGATATCGAACGACCAATCAGTTATTTCAGCTTCCAGTTGTGCTGCTTGCCCTTAACCATTAACATTCATGTACTCTGCGATTATTACCATTTATTATTGCCAATTGACTAACTTTGAATTTCTCGTGGTACGTAGATTCCAAAGTACGCTCATTATACGAAGAAACGAAATTCCTCGTAAAAATCGTGAGACCTCTAGCCCTGGATCTAAACATAATAAAACCAGAAGACCTTTTTTTCCACCATCTTTTTCTCCGGCTGCTAGCATTGCTTCTTCCCCGATGCTTCGACTCGAGTTTATATTTGGCAGCGGAGAAAAAGGAAGCAAGTCGAGAACACCAAGAACCGAGGACCGTCGTCCGAGAACACAAACAACGGAACCAAAAGATCCTCTCTTTTTCCGTCTATTTCGACAAGATCGGTTCGTACATTTTTTCCCCCCACTGGACGAATACGAATTTAGAAGCACTTAAATTAGTGGACGAAAGGCAGAGGGGAAAAAATGAAATTCCTTGGACAGCGAATGGCACGAGAGAGCATCGGGAAACTGCAGGAAGTTTAAGCCAGACGTTGACGAAGACTGTGAAACGTAATCCGAGCGGCCACATCCGCATTACTTTTAACTCTACCGGGTCTTACCTCTTCCTGTCGTTGTCCCAATGAAATCACCAACGCTTCCCACTTATTTCTCTGTATTTATCTTAACATTATCTTTTTTACGCTTTTCTTTTTAAACGTTCGCAGCTTTACGTGGATTTGCATTCGTCGATACGTACACGTCATTGTACGTTAGGCGCTAATAAATAATGTTTGCTGACACTTAACCGTACATGTGACGATACGTTAACATACGCGGAATTAATCGTTTACATAGAATCAGCTGCGAAACGCATACTTTACTACAAATAAATGTTCGGTTCGATTCAATTCGATTCGAGAGAGCCGTAGGTCCTTGTTGAGAATCCCTGGTGTAGCGTGTCCGTCGAGCGGATTTTTAACGCGATAAATCTTGTTCCTGTTCCTTCCCTTGTTCCGATAATGAACACGTAATTAACCGACTTACCGCCAAGTAAAACGTTAACCGTGCACAGGCGTTAGATGCGATTCCACGTGCGAGCGTTAATTGCTTTCTTCGTAAACTCGAGCGCGCATATTTTCCACGTTAATGGCTCTTCTGGTGGGAGACTCTTTCCAGCTTTCTGATTTAATACAATCTCAATCGGAACATCTACGATTGTAAAAAAGCGTTTGTTTAAAAATAATCATTGTTCGGATTTACTTGAGAGATTACGAGAAAACTGCTATTCTCTATCGTTTAAAGCCATCGACCCCGAGTTTCGTCACTTGAAAAAATGGTGTACCGAGATACAGATTATCGTTTATCATTCTTTCGAGTATACACGTAAAAATACAATATAAATCATAAACCAAACGCTGACAAGTGCTTCTTTAACTCGCCAAGTTCCTAAAACGCGATTTAGTACAATATCTCAGGCAACGTATCGATATCGACCACGTTATACGAGAGTCACCGCGCTAGGTACAACGCACATACACACAAGTACGTTGATACTTGGTTTCCCAATGTACACTTATACTTGGTACACGTAATCCTATTACTTTCAATTATCCAATGTGAACGAAAAATGCTCAAGATGTTCCGAATGGCTAAGGATTGGGTATGTAGGCCAAGCTAGCCAAGGCTTGAAAATCTTTAAAGATTAAATTCTGAGGAGGACGTGTTTCTCCAAGCGACCAGCCATTCTGCTTCACGCATATGTACGTGTACGTATTCTGTAAGGAATGGAGCAGGTAAAACCACGGGAAATACGTCGGCGTCGCTTTCCTGCAAGTATAGTACGGGCAACGATGAAAATGCACGGCGGGGCCCGTCGCTTCGTACTAAAACTCTGAAGTTTGTTAACATCTCGTGATGGATGCATAATTGCAATAAATTTTTTAAATAATTTTCATTTTTTCATGTTAAAAATGTTTGTTCGCGTTTGAAAAACGCCGAGTTAATGGGTTGTCGAGGCTCAACTATTGTATGTATACCGCTGCTTCGCTATCTAGCTGTTACGAACCAGCACTTTTAATGCGAGCAACGTTTCCAGCGCACGTTGTTAGTGTATAATGTACCGATATGGGTTATTTGCATTACTCGCCACTTTTGTTACGCGACGGACTTGTATCGTTCGCGCAGAAAAGAACGTTGTCTCGCGTTGTATACTATATTTTTCGTGTATAGGGTAATTTTCATCTAAACGCAAATGTTTGTATATTTCCATTCAATCTTGCCGTTTCCTGCTCTGGCATATCCACACTCGACGAGTTTACCCCGTTTCTTCTCCTAAAGTTGTACCGTTCTTGTGTTCCTTCTCTCGTCGCGTCGCGTCGATGCAATCGAGGCTTTTCTACGGTTGGCACTCAATGAGTCACGACGCACAAACACCACGTTTATGCTATATGCCATGCCTCTTGGCCAAGTCTTGTTCCCTCGTTTTCTATCGTCCTCTCGGTGCGGTCTCAATTTTTCTGCCCGCTACGACCTTCTTTCTTCACGGTGCTTGCGACGTCCCCCATATATTTCTCTCAATTTGCTAGGCCTGCCATTATGCCTATCGGTGCCAATACATTTCCATGTTTCTTTCTCCGATACAGAAAGAAATACACCACGTTTTCAGAACGAGATTTAGTTGAAACACACAGAGGGAAAATATACAAAAATTATGAATTAACGAATCGATGAAATTATTTATCGAGATAAAACCATAGACGTAGAATAGAATGTACAAGTATACTAACTTCAACTCTTATTACAATCTCTTTTACTCGGCATATTTTTAGACTATTCTCTGTTGCGAAACAACGTGATTTTTGGAATGGATTTCATATATAGGGTGGACAGTGACGTGTTGTTTCTATCGGTGGTACGTCGTTATTTATAATTCAAGCGGAAACGCCGCCTCATCGATGTTCGGGGTGGCATACATTCGATAAGACACGCATTCAGCGTATTATGCTCTCTGAATGTAAACAAGGAAATAATGCAGTTATCGTCAATAAATGTGTTGCGTACGACGACACGCTCGATGCTTGTAAATTACTTGGTCCGGTGAATTCTGACCAATCGTTACGTGTCACGAAAATAGAAAATTTTACTTTTAATCCCCATTTATATTCGCATAAATGTCAGTGTTTACCTCTGTTTTCTTCAACATTATCGAGGTATCCAAGCGGTATTTTTTGCATCGTCAACTATACATCATTTTTATCTCTATCAGTTTTCCCGGTCTTGTGTTTCCTCCAGGCTTGTTTTTCGCACAGTCTACCGCGATCACTGTTTCTACCAACTGTTTCAGGTCACATTTCCAAAGGCACGGTTCAATACAACAGAAAAACTATTTGTTCGCGAATACATGTTTTATATAAGCAAATGGTCATTTACTTTTACTTTGCCGTCCTTTGTGAATTTTCTATTCTTCTAAGATGGATGTTGCAACTTTGTTTTAGATCAATCATTAAAAATATCCTTCTGGTAGTTAGTCTTTTTCCCTCGAAAAATATTTCGAACGAAAACGGCGTCAGATATGTATGTGTATGTATGTATGTACATACAAACCGGCGCGTCATTAGCGTCGAGGCAAAGATAGAAGAGGGAGAGACACCCTTGACTATATCTTAGTCATATCTCCTTTCCTGGAATTTTAGGGGAGAATGCAAACGACCGTAAAGAGAGAAGAGAAGAGAAGAGAAGAGAAGAGAAAGAAAAGTTTCCTAGGCAAAGACCGGTAATATACGATATACCAGCTAGACACCCCAATGATTCTTATACGCCAGAGCAACGGAAGAAGAGACTATTGACTCCATGAATCGATCGAACCATAGGTAGTCAAGATTGGAGGCCAATTTCGTGTCTGACTCATGTATT